GGTTTTACAACAAAGACGGCAATATCGCCAGAATGAGGGACACCGCCGACGATGACTCCGACGACACCAACACTTGGAATGGAAACTCAACACAACAAATGTGAGCCATAATTGTCTCACAAGTATTACTGTTATCACAGTTTTATTCAATTTGTATTTTAAAAGTTGTCAATTATTTTGCAATTAATAAACTAATCAAATGTCATTCTAATCAATCAATTAATTAATTAATTTAGTTACAACTTTCTCTTCACTTCCAATTTAGCTCTGTTTTTATCTTTTTGAAAGTTTTGTAAAAATAAAATTGATTTTAAATACCCGGTAACTTTGTGTCTTATATTTGCACCAATATTTCTGACTCGGTATGAGTAGCAAGAAATTGCAAGAATAGGAATGAACACAATGTGACCATAACTTGCATTCTATTGATTTGAAACAAACATTGATGTATTTGTGAGCCAATTAAATACAGCATATCGTTATAATTAATTATAAAATAAATTCAATGCAATGCCAATAGACTTCAGCCCTTCCATACCTCTCATTAAGATTCTGTCCAATTAATAACATGTATGATAGGAATAATCTGATCTAATTTTGTGATTAGTTGTGCCGTAATGTACAGGTATATGGAATAATGATATTAACACAACATTATTAAAGGTATGCATAAAAATGATAACAATTATTTGCCGTCATTTAAATGACTTCTAAATGTATAGTAATTAAGAATACCATTAATGACAGCAAACTTCTAGAAATAACTTTCAATGTGTGCAGTGAATGTCTCCCCCCTCCCCCTCACCACTCGTTGTATTATAGATAACAGAGTTTGTGAAGAGTAGGCGTATGAGTGACTGATTGTGTGGAGCAGTGATTGCTGTTCAGAGTGTCTGAGCTCTGATCCCATGACTAACTCGACTCCTGAGCCCAACACCAGTCCTGATGGTGACAGTGAGGACACGGATCACATGGACCACGACAATGACGAGGAGCAGCACATGGAGATGCAGGCGGACCAAGAGGTGCAGCAATTGGACCAACAGATTGAAGGTTTGTGTGATTGCTTTGAATGGCATTTCATTTGACCAAATGTTGGACATAGAGTTGACTCAATTGGACACCAAATTGGATCAAATCAGTCACTTCTTGGACAAAATCGAGGAGAAGAACGAGTCCTTAAGACAACAAATCAATAGTTTTCTAAACGATATTAAAGAAGAGAATTGCGTTAAGAATAACAATAACCAGAAGAATAATTAATGTATCCGTTGAGCTGTTCCACACATTATCCCAGAAATGATTCATTTAGACAATTAAGACAATTAAGACATTAATCATGAATATATCGATATGTTTACAAATTATATATTTTATTTAAATGAGATTTAAGTTTATTTTTTGTGATAATTTTCTGTTAAAAATAATTCATTAAATTAAAGAATTTATTTAATATTTGGACTAAATTTACAAATTTTGGTAAAATATAGAAAATCATATAAAACTTAAAGGAAATAAATTTGGGTTTAAATTATTTGATTAAAATGTGTCTGATGAGATTTGGAAATTAGTTATTTTTATTAATATATTAGAAATAATCGTCAATTGAATCCGTTATTAGTCTGTAAATAGAGTTGATATCTAACTGTAAGAATCAATGTATTTAAGTCTTTGAAACCATTTGGGAGAACTCATGAGTAAATGAAAGTCATAATCGACGGGTGCAGACATTTGGGGCACAACACAAAAATTGTAAAAACTAAGCGTAAAATAAACATAAAAATAATCTAATACTCGGTATTCACTCATAAAATTCATTAAATTTCATTTC